AAGTCCCTAAGTCTAAGGCAGTGATTCTCAACTGGAGCAATTTTGTCCTCAGGGGACACGTGGCAGGTTCTGGAGACATGTTTGGTTGGCACAACTAGCACCTAGTTTGAGGGGAGAAGGGCAGGGATGTTGTGGAATATTTTATAATGCACAGGAAAGCCCCTATGACAAAGATTTCACAGTCCAAAATATTGGTAGTACCAAGGTTGAAAACCCTGCTCTAAGGTTAATAAAAGAAATCAGTACTTCTAACTTATTGAAGGTGTATTTAGAATGATAGAAGCTTTAACTTGATCTTCCTTTACTGTCTCTTTGCCTTTGAACTGTATTTGGTGTCTTAAGATGAAGTTGAAGCATGATTGCCCTTGGATTGTCTATAGACATAAATAGCCAATGGACAAATAGGCTGGAAGGAATGGCCCTATTATTTTCTTTTATTTAGATTGCACCAGGCATTTTTGTTTAGAATATTGTCATGGCTCTTCTGAATATCTTTTGTTTTATGATTTTAGTATCTTATTCCCTTTCTCCTCTTCATTAAGCCATGCTGATTTAAGACCATTTCTCACTCAGCCATAGCTGCTGCCTTAGAAAAGAAGTGAAGGGGATTTGGCTAATTGGATTAGACATGGTCTCTAAAGCCTTCTCCTCTTACTCGTGAGATTTGATTCCGCTGTTTTCATGGGAAATGACCTTCTGCTAACCTTGAAGTGCCATCCTAAGCCCTAGTATTAAACTGTCTCCTTTTTAGTCATTGCTTCATTCCTCTATCTGCAGCTATTTCAGACCAGGTTCCCTTGAACATGGAGTAGATGAGCAGTCCCCGCATAGTGACAAGCCCTGATCTCCACATCCTCTCTTCTCCCGTCTGGCAAAGTGAGGTTCTGGAGTGTCTTGGAGTCAAAATGTTGTGGGGTGGGTTTCTTGGTATTTTATTGGCTATTTCTAGCCCGTCTAGTAAGACTCTGAATCATTCAGAGATGGCTTGACAGAAGAGACCTTGTTTGGGTTGTCTTTTTTTTTTTTTTTTTCTTCTCTTCTTTGGGATGAAGGCAGGATAATAGAAAGAGATATCTCTAAATGAAATATCAGACGTGGAATAGTGGTGGAAAATAAAACCAGTGCTATCTAAGGCTATTCTCCACCATATTTATTTTAGCATATTTACCTCATCCATCTTGTATTACATAAACAATAGCATTTGTATTTAGTACATGATTCATTATAAGTGATTTCTAATGAATAGTGAGAGGAACATGTGTATGTTTTGACCATGAAGTTTTAGATTTCTATCAGCCTAATAGTAAGTGGTACCAGCAAATTCCAGAAACTGACGCTGGAAAAGCTCCTGTGATATATTGGACTTCAGGCACATAAATTCGATTCCTTCCACTTAAAGAGAGCTCTAGAGAGATACACAACTCTTTTTAACCTTCCCACTCTTATGTTAAGAATAGAAAGATGCAGTGTAGAATAGTGAGATGAAGAGAGTTAATGGAGAGAGGTCGAGCAGTCTGTGCCTTTTAACAATCCTATACCTAATCTCTTTGTCTTCCATGCTCTAGCCAGTTCCCAAATAAACCAAGCATGATTAAGAAAGTTAATAAAGTTAGATAAAGAAATGATGGTGTGTATGGAACTTCACCTTAGAGAAGGATGATAGAACCCAAGGAAGGGAAGGTAGGGATGGAAGGGAGAGGAGAGATCTTTGGATGAAGAGACCTCCACCTTCTTCATTGCTGTCAAGAACCTGTGGTGGTTGGTTCCATCCAGGTGTTAGGCAAGGCAGAGTATACCAAATTTCTGAATATAGCCATTTACAACTTAAGAAAGGCATTGTGGCTGATAACCAAGTATGTCTTAGAAATTGAATGACAGCATACACATTTTAGAGATTGTATTGTGTGAGGGGCAGTGGCAGTAGTGGTGGTGATTTTCTTGGCTTGGGCTTTGTCATGTTTTTCTGCCTGATTAGCGTACTCATAATTTTTAATAAGACACCATCACTCAGAAGTTCTGTGAACAGGAAGGATTTGTCTTCTACACAGGCCGCCTGGGGCTAGGAAGTAAGACCATGCTGAGCCCAAAGGACTAGGATAAAGCCTCTGCTGACAGGGAGAAGAGTGGGCAGAATGTGGGCAAGAAGAGAATCCAGGAAACAGAGCAAATGTTTAAACATTGTGTGGTGCAAGTGTGTGGTTTGTGTCTTCAGAGTGTGGAGAAGAATAAGGAAAGCTGAAACTGTGCAGCTCCCAGGTACTAGAAGCCGCTTTCCAAACTCCGTCCCTCCTTCTAGGTATGAAGGGAATTTATTTCTGCCAGGTTGTAGAAGTCCTGTTTCTTACATTCCTGGGCCTGACTTCTTCCAGGGCCTTTTGTTGGCCAGTTCTGTGCCTCATGTGTACAGACCTTGACAGTGTCTTTGTCTCATCAGCAGCTGATACTTACCTGAAGGTGTCAGTTTGTCAGTGAGTTGTGCTTTTTAGCTCCCACAAATTTGACTCATAGACTCATCCTCATCATCAGGTGCTTATTTTTACTTTTTCATGCTTTTATTTCTCTCCCTAACATTTCCATTTAGAGTTAGAGTTTGAAAAGTTGCTTTATAGATTCATATAAGTTTACAAATTTATATTTTGCCACATGCTAAATTCATTTTGCACCCAACATATGTGCATGACACACTCACCATGCAAGAGAATAAGGAGGACATTCTTGTCATAATGCAATGAGAGGTCCTGTCCCCATCAGATAAATGAATGTTCATTGAAAAGAATCAAACTCTTGCTTTGTAAGACATGCCCAGAAGATGGCTGAGGTACCCAGATTTGCCGGCATGTAACATGTTTAGTCTAAGTAGGATTGTATGGCTGAATATTTTAGTTTGCAAGACTTTGCTCCTCTCTGAGACACATAGATGAGACCCTAAGACACATCATGCGCCTCAGCAAAAATTGCAGAAGTATACATGGTTTGAGGTGAACAAAGGAGACCTTGGATCAGTTAATCCCCTGCAGAGAAGCCGATCAGGTCATTGCAGCCACCTCCCTCTGGTGACCCTCTTATATAAACAGGAACAGGAATTCTTGCTGCTGGATCCCTTTCATCAGGCATCTTAGGCTCACTGAATGAAAAGCCCTATAAAAAGAAGATGCAGTCCTAATAATAACAAATACGATCGTGATGGCTATTTTGGACAAGAACAGCTTTGTGCCACTCTTGATCTCCATCGATGGCTATCATTCTTGCCCTGCTGTTACCTTACACACTTCCTATTCTTAGAATCATTTGTGAGCCTTGGGCTTGGGGGATTGCAGCCCCCATGGCTGGAATGCCCAGCTTGAGTGGAATGCAGACTGTCTGGCAGAGTGGAGGTTAAATAAAGTTTGCCTTGGCAGCCCCCTCTGCTCCTGGATGGGTGACAAGTGACTCGAGTATAGGAGCGATGGCATGAGCTGCCATGTGGTGTAGCACCAAACAGAGTCTTCCATGCATGAATAGAAGTGGTTGATTGTCCATCCATGACCAACACAGCTATGCCAATCTGGAATGAGGTGGATGAAGGGGAGACCTCAACAGCCTTGAGCCTCGGCTTATAGCACATCACTTTGAAAAAAGTGCAGGAACAAAAAAAGAGTAATGTTGAACCGCCTTTTAGGTTTCCAGCTGAATTCCAGATTTGCCACATACTAAAATTCATTTTGCACCCAACACATGTGCGTGAGACACTAAATCACCATGCAAGAGAGCAAGGAGGACATTTTTGTCATAATGCAATGTGAGGTCCTTTGGAAGGTATACCAAAGCATATCTTCTCCCTCAGAGTAATTGACTCATTTTTGAAAGTAAGACAAAGGGAAATTTTTTCATTGAAATAAGAACAGTTATCAGTCAACCATTTCTTGAGCACCAAGTACTGTGGGAAACTTTTTTAAAGTACAAGATACAGCACTCTTACAGCTTATAATTTAGTTGAAGAGGTAAAGCTGTAAACACCTTTAAAAAGTTTCATATTCCAAAGTAAAATATTGGCTGAAGAACTACCTGCCAAAGGAGGTCTATGGAGAAGGAGAGCATTTCTAGCTGTGATGGTCAAAGATTTCATGGAGGAGACGGGGTTGAAACAGGTCTTGCCAGAAGGGCAGACTCGAGACTTGCTCTTCAGGCAAGGTGAGAAGAGGGCCTTGTTAGTCAGAGAACTGTTATGAACAAAGGGCAGATGTAGGAAATCCCCAAGACAATCATGAGGACTTGAAGACTTAGAGGATATGGCTGGGAAGGTAGAGGAGGAAATCGTGAAAAGATCGCCAAAGGCTTAGCTGTGAAGGCTGTGTGTGCATGTTACCAAGAAGGTTATAATGCTTCCCGCCCAAGGAGAGCTAGAAAGGTGTAGGTGCAGCCTTGCTCAGAGACCGAGGCCCTTTTAGTGTTCTCTTCTGTAAAACCGCTTGTACAGTATGTGGCACATAGTGAACACGCAGTCAATAACACGATTCTTATTGCTACTCATCTTCAAATTCTGTTACCGCAAGTTGTTGAATTGGCTTGGTTTCCATTGTAAGAGTCAGTGGTTACGTTGTCCTTTTCTGCTTGCTGATGTAGTTTATGGTATCTATTTGGGCTGCTGTAACAAAATACCATAAACCGAATGGCTTATAGACAACAGAAATGTATTTCTCACAGTTCTAAAGGCCAGGAGGCTCTAGATCAAGGCACCAGCAGGATTGGTCTCTGGTGAGGGCCCTTTTCCTTGTTCATAGACAGCTGTCTTCTTTCTGTGTCCTCATGTGGCAAAAGGGGCAAGAAGTCTCTCTCAGGTTTGTTTTATAAGGGTATTTACCTTTTGCCCCCATGACCTAATCGCCTCCCCAAACGTCCCACCTCCCAATACCATCACCTTGAGGATTAGGATTTTGACATATGAATCTACAGTCAGCCCCCTGCCTTGCTATGTCCTTTCCTTCAGCTTTTTCTAAGCTTCCGTCTCTCTTCTACCACAGGTGGCTAGAGGTGCAGGTGGCTAATTTAACAAGTCCACAGCGCTGGGTGCAGTACCTTCGGCTTCTTCAGGAGTCCATCTGGCCCGGTGGAGTTTTGCCTAAGTTTCCACGGCCTGTAAGGACCCAGGAGCAGAAACAGGCTGCTGAGAAACAGGCTTTGCAGAGCCTGATGGGAGTCCTCCCAGGTAACTGGACCAATGAGATCAGCTATACCAGTCACAGTTCCCTTCCATTCTGCTCCGCCACCATTACCCCTGTACCTTTTTCTTGTTTGTAAAAGGGCCCCGAATGTGGCTAGATTCAAATATCTGTCGACCCATCATTTCTCAGGCTAATAGGAAAACAAACAGGGCTACAATTCTTTTATCCCTCGCTCAACTGATGCCAAGGGAATGCAAAGGAACTCTATGGCTACACCCTACATCTAGGTGACAATCCTGCAGGTAATTAGGGTAAAAACTTTTGGGCAGGTTTGGGGAAGCTCTGCCTGCAGGGACAGGTCTCAGAGCCATATCCAGGAGACGAAGACTTCAGATTCTCTGCCAATTCATAGCATTTTGGGACCAAGGAAGAAAATCACATGTCCCACAGAAGCTCCAACTAAATAAATTGCAGCCATTGAGTATGGCACATGGCCTTTAGCAATAAGCAAAAACAAAACCTGAGAAGGTTGTTTTTCCTTGCATTGTGTTTTTAGAGGGCCAGGAAGGCAGTTTGTTGCCTATGACTGTGATAACCAGGAAACAGTTATGAACTTAGCTCTGGACAATTTTATTTACTCTTATCGTTATAACTCTGTGTTCACCAACCTAAACTGTTAAATTGGAAGGAGTACCTGCATTTTAGTGGCAGGTTATAATGGGTGTTGAAGCCCGTTCTTATTTAGATACCTAACTTAAGAAACATATTTTTCTCCTGTTTTTCCTATTTTGTGAGGATTTTAGTTTGGCTGTGTGGTTTAGATGTATACCCTAAATACCTAATTTATGTAAAAATGGCAGAGATCCTGGGGAGAGACTGTCCTTACCTTCAGTGGTAACACACAAATTCTATCTGGTCTTTTCCTCCTCAGATCTTGTAGTAGAAATTCTTGGGGCGAGCAAATGCCAGCTGAGCTGGGGTCTAGTCTTGGAGTCACTGCAACAACCCCTCATCAACAGGTAGGTGGAAAAACATGATTCCAACATCAGCATAGCCAAAGCTGTCTCTGGTCTCAGAGGTATCCAAGGTTTCTGAGTGAAAAGCCCACATTCCGAAGAATAGGACTGTAGTCTTTACTTGCTCTGGGCCCCAACTACAGATTTTGATGTCCAGATCCACAAACTAAGTAAAATCCACACCATCAGGCTTCTGAGCAGGTCGTCACATGCTAGGAAGTCACTCTTGGACCAACCACCATTGGTGTTTGGAAGAACTGTATGCAGTCCCCCACATGAGCTGCTGAAAATGCCCTCTTATTGTGCAGGCCTGTTCAGTGTACTTGCTCAGTGCTCTTTCCAACATCTGCCAGCCCCTGTGAATGCTCTGAGAGTGCACCCTGGCCTGTGTATCACAGACTATGTAAGATATTCAATGTAAGCCTGTGGGCTCAGAGCAAAGCTGGGATTCATGTCACACCAGGAGTTGTCTTTGCTTCCTATGAGGTAGACAAGATAGTAAGATTGGAATCTCATAAAGGGACCAGAAATGCTGGGTGAAGAGTCCTAGAATAATCCAGAAGAGGTAGATTCCACCCCTTGGACTGTTACTCTTCTGGAAGTATTGAGTCATCTTAAACTCAAACCCTATCCCAAAGTAGACTATATTTGTTAACTTCCTCAAGGATCCTGGCTTTACCTCACTGCCTGCAAGGCAGCCTATAAATTTAAGGTAATTAATTGTGAGAAGCAACAGTAGTCAGGAATTCTGAAAGTATCTAGTAACCTGACGTCTCAAGGATTTGTTATCACAGTTCTTCAGAGCAGTGCTAATGTAACTATGTAAAGAGAAATGGAATTTCATAAAACCTAGTCTCAAGTACTGTTCTTGTCTTTATTAGGATCAGAGGCTTTATTAGTTCAAAAAACATTAATTTCAGGGCAGAGGCTTCATCAAACTATTGAAGTTTGGGGCATTGGTGATGGGGGAGGAGAAAATAAATGCCATAAACGGGATCTTGTGTTTCCTGACTGAGCCAGACCCTAAGTTTTTTGTCCGTTTGTTTCAGGCATTTGATTTACTGCCTTGGGGACATCATCCTGGAATTCTTGGATCTCAGTGCCTCTGTTGAGGAGTCTGCTACTACCACCTCTGCTTCAGATACCCCAGGCCACCCTAAAAGGATGGGTATCTCCTCTTAGCTGGTTATTCACGTATTATTCCCAGGTCAGGGAAGTAGAGTTACTCAGACACCCAGAGACCAGTCAGGAAACCCACGCCCTTTGGAAGGAGGCTACAGCTCAGGAGGCCTAGGCTGTCAGTGGCTTAATTCTCTCCTACTTCTGTTCCATTTGTAGCAGGTGACATGTATCCCAGTTGCATGCATATTTATTTCCATGTCCCTTTTATGGTGTTGGGATTGTTCCTGGTGAGTAGATCCTGTTTCCTTTGGGGAAAGAGCCATGAGGTAGAGGAATGAGCCCATTTTGCTTCTGCTTTTGCCATCCTCCCTGAGATTGTTTGCCAAAACCCTGGCCTTGTGCACACATGTACCTAATCCACCAGCACACAAGCTCTGGATAAAACAGGAAAAAAACTGTGGCCAGATTTCCTTGGAGGAGAAAACAACCTTCTGAGCTCCGTTCCTACCCGGAAACTAAAAATTCACTCAGGACCATTTTCAAAAAACAAACTCTTGAGTCTAATCTAGTTTCCCAACAGTTCCAGAAGAAGAATGAGGGAAGAAAATTTTTCAGGGGACTTCTTGCTCATGTGTTGCTATTTCTCAACACATCAGCCTTATGGAAGATGTCATGAGGCTGCTTCCCTGGGAGACTACTTTTCCTTTCCAGAAGACTTCAAAGCTGACTGCCAAAGCTTCTGGTAAATCCACCCCACCCTTCACACCCCTTCCTGAAAGGCATTTGTACCACACATTTTATTTATTGGCTTTCCTCCTAACCCCCTGCCCTAGAGCAATTGAGTTTTTGAATTTGTGACCCTTTCTCTATCTTCAGCAAAATTGCATGACAAGTTGCATATTCAGCCTCAGTTTTTGCAAAGAAAAAGTAAAGCACTTGCCTCCTGTCTTAAGAATACACAAAGAGTAGGAATAGCAAGCCTGGTGGTTAAATTCTCCCTTGATAATTCTTTGACAGGGAACTTTTATTACTCTGAACAGATAAGATTAGAACTTACAAGGAATCGCTTATTTCCTATTCTTTATGTTATAATTAGTCTTTTAAGAACACCAGCAATGAAGGCAGAGGTGTTCTGTCAGGCTGCAACATCTATTAGAAAGGCAAAGCAATTAGAAATTGCTGGAGGAGAAGGATAAATCAGGAGGAATTGCTGGTAGAAAAGGATGCAGACAGTCACAGGCAAGTGCTACATATTAAACACATGTGAATAGCTGGCAGAAAGGTGTCAAGGAAGTCACTAGGAGCCCTTTGGCTTCACACCTGCCTGTTAGCGCCTTCCCTTTGCAGAATTACCAGAGCCACCACTTCGAGAAAGGTCTTGGAGTTAGACTGATGAGAAGGCAATGAGGTGTCAACAACAAGTGTTAAAGTTCTCTTAGATTCTGAAGTAGGTGATGAACACACAATTAAAGTGGTTTGTGGAAGAAAGTTGTGAGATCTTTTTACTTTTTTGCCCCTCTGGAGGCTTTTAACCCTAAATTGTATCTGATGTATTTGGGAGGCTTAGGTGTGCAATTCTTGCCAAAAGGCAAGGAGATTAATGAGATGTCTCATGGCCCCTTCTAGCCTTAAAGGTTGACCATTACAGTGACTTTATGGCTCCAAAGTTCTTGAAGCATCTCCAGCCCTCGACTTTGCCAGGCAGAGGTAGCTCAGGATCTCCACCTTATGTGAGTCCAGCCGATGTATTAGAGCTGATCATTCAGCTCCTTCAGTGAGGGCCAAGATTCTACTCTGGATGGGCATGGGGGCAGCCCTGTTTTATGCCACTTTTCTCTCCCCATACCTTCCCTTCATGTGTATTTAGCCACCTGTGTTGCTTTGAATCTGCTACCTGTCCTGGCTCAAATGTGGCACAAAATCAGTACATCAGACACACCATGGAATCCCTGTGGCTATAAGTTCTAAGGAATCTTTTGACACTTCCAGCCCAAAGAACTTACTTGTTTTTCATGTTATATAAAAGTCCCTACCTCCACTCCATGTGCCTCAAAAAGATAAGCTGTCCTCAGTCCCTCCTTCTACCCGGGAGGGAAGTAATGGATATTGGCAAGGAAATAATCAAAACTCATCTGGCTTTGAAAATGACCTGCTAAGTTTGGGTAACAGATTCAGACAATGAGAGAGGAGCAATTGGTAGAAAGCCACAGGTATCTGGAAAAGATACTCCCAGCTGGCAGGGTGATAAAAGGCAGTGAAGAATTGGGCCTGCACTAATCCAGGAAGGGTTTTTTGTTTGCTTGTTTGTTTTTTGTATTTACTCAGACTAAATTTTATTCATTTAACTAAGAATTTTGATACTTGAAGTAAGACTAAAGTACTTTCCCTTTTCTTAATATCTATAAAAAAAGAGGCAGGGATGCAGTGTTCTTTCTGTCAAATTCTAAATGTGATCTTTGCCATTGCTTATTTGAATTCAAGAAAGCTATACTTTTTCACCACATATAACTCAGTTTTTTTTCACATTTTTCAGTTAAACTTAATAAAACCTAAATGGAAAGTAAGTTCCTAAATATGAGCCTAGGGGCATGTATAAATTTTAAAAAATCAATACAAGCTACTCCAATTTCCATTTTAGAAATTTGCAGTTTATAAGGTGATATTCTTATAGTTGTAAAGAAACACATAATGTGAGATCTACCCTTAAGTATACAGTACATTTTTTTTTGAGACAGTACATTATTAACTAGAAGCAGCACAGTGTTTTGTAGCAGACTGCTGTAAGTTTTTCATCTTGCGTTAACTAAAACTGAACAGCAACTCCTCATTTCCCCTCCCCCCAGCCTCTGGCAATCACTAGTCTACTTTCTGCTTCTGTAAGTTTGACTGCTTTGCCTCATATAAGTAGAATCACGCAGTGTTTGTTCTTCTTTGACTGTCTTATTTCACTTAGCATGATGTCCTCCAGGTTCATCCATGTTGTAGCAGGTGACAGTTTTCTTCTTTTTAAGGCTGAAAACATTCCATTGTATGGCTGTGCTACATTTTCTGTGTTCATTCATTGATGAACATTTAGGTTGCCTCCACACCTTGATTATTGAGAATAATACTGCAGTGAACATGGGAGTATGAATATTTCTTCGAGGCCCAGCTTTTAATTATTTTAGATAAATACCCAGAAGTAGAGTTGCTGGATCATATATAGTTTTGTTTTTAATCTTTTGAGGACTTCATACTGTTTTCCATAATGGCTAGACCATTTTACATTCTCACCAACAATGTACAAGGGTTCCAGTTTCTCCACATCCTCTCCAATACTTGCTATGTTTTGTTTTTTTAATAATGGAATCTTAAAAGGTATTAGGTGATAGTAATATCTTGTGGTTTTAATTTGTATAATCCAGAACATTTTTGAGTCTTCCTGTGCCCTACCCAGGTTATTCATTTCCGGCCACTGCTCTTCCCTTGTTCACAGCACCCAACAGCAGTTGTTAGGTCCTGGGTAAAGTAAAAATATGTGTAACTGTGGTCCCTGGCTGCATGAATCAGGATGCTTTGGACAGGAATTAAATTACAAGGAAAACTTATTTTATTTTATAACATTAGTACGTGAGTAGGTAAGCCCAGGAGTTGGTGATTCAGCAACTCTAGGACCTCTTAAGGGGCCTGGATTCTTTCCATCTTTCTGCTTTGCCATTCTAATTATGTCACCTCTGTTCTCAGACTGCCTGCCTTCCTGGTGCTGCAGTTTCAGGCATCACACCCAGACATAACATTCATGAAAGAACAGAACCATCTCTTCTATGTTTTCTTCTAAGGAATGAAAGAAGCATTTCCCAGAAGCCCTTCAAGAATCCTCTTCTAGGCCAGCACAGTGGCTCACATGTATAGTCTCAATACTTTGGGAGTCCTAGTCAGGGGATCATTTGAGGCCAGGAGTTTTAAGACCAGCCTGGAACATAGCAAGACCCTGTTCCTACAAGAAATATATAAATTATAAGCTAGGAATGGTGGCTGCTGCCTATAGTTCCAGCTACTAGGGAGGCTGAGGCAGGAGGATTGCTTGAGCTCAGGAATTTGAGGCTGCAGTGAGCTATGATCACACTACTGCACTCTAGGCTAAGTGACAGAGTGAGACCCCCAAATCAAAAAAAAACAAAAACAAAACTCATGACTCACTGACTAGAGCTGCCCACCTCACACCAGTCCACTGACACTGAGAATGGAATTGTGATTGGTTTTCAGTAGTATTTGCCCCCAGAGATAAGGTCACCTTCCATGAAGCTCAGATATCTACAGAAATAATTGATGTTGGCAAGTAAGAAGCAGAGCATGGGTGTTGATAGACAATGTTTGCTCTAAGGAGGGCCATTCTGCCAACATTCAGCAAATCCCCATCCACTCTCAAAATGCCTGGTACCAGCTAATAGTTAACATTTTCTGAGAGCATTACTTAAAGCCCTTTACATATCTTCACTTATTTAACGTACAAATAAACCCTTAAATATAGGTTCTGATGTAGTGGGTTGGTGCAAAAATAATTGTGGTTTTGCCATTTTAATGCAATTACTTTTGCACCAACCTGATAATATCCCCATTTTATAGATGGGGAACATGAGGCACAGAGTGGTTATGCGTTACCCACAGTCATTTGCAAGGGACTGGCAGAGCCTAGATACAAATCATGTCAGTCTGCCTCTGACCTACATGTATATCCACTGTACGAAATTGCCCTTCTACCTTACAAAGCAGAACAAAACTGCATTCTTATTTTTAAGGCGTCTACAGTCTACTGTAGGAGCCAGTAAACTTTCTCTGTAAAGGGCTGGAGAATAAATATTAGGTTTTGCAGCCGTGTGGTGTGTGTTGTAACAACTCGGTTTTTCCATTGTAGTGTAAAAACAGTTGTAGACAATTCATAAACAAGTGTGGCTGTGTTCCAATAAAACTTGATTTACAAAAATAGGCAGCTGGCCGGATTTGGCCCATGAGTCATAGTTTGTGGACCTGTGGTCTAGTGAGTTAGAATACTGCTTACTAAATTTTAATGTGTGTGTGATTCACCTGGCATCGGGTTATAATGCAAATTTTGATAGAATATGCCCGGACTGAGGCCTAGTAAAAGTGTGAGTGCTATGCTCTAAAAATGTCGACACCATGATTATCTCACTCCTCTGCTGTTTGAGGGGCAGAGAGCAGTGGGAGATGCCTTGTTTCAGGAACTCAATTCAGTCAAGCTATCCTTGCAAGGGTTAGCTCCCACAGTCCCCTCCACACCTGCCATTTGTCCAATCTAACTTTGCACCGGAGCAAGATGTATCTTCCAGGGATGAGGAGAGGAAGGTTAGCCCACCCTGCTGGATGTGGAAGGTGGTGGGAACCAGGAAAGAATGGTAATTGGGGATGAAGGGAAACCGTGATGCTCTTGTAGTTGAAGGCCTGACTGGGCACGCTCTGCCGTAACTTGGCACCTCTGTTTCCTTTCCACTAGGAGTGCCAAAAATCACAGGGCAGTAGTCTCTAACCCTGCCTTTATAGACAAGAAAATGAAACCACTGAAGGGTGAATTTCAGCGAGCATATTGCCATCACTCTTTTATAGTATAAAGGATGAGAGAGGCAGTGAGGAAGACATTGCCCCAAACGTTATGTCCACCTCCTAAGACTTACCTGATATTTCTTATTTCACAAAGACAACATTGACTGGTTTAAGGGGGAAAAAAATGAAATCCAGAAGAATGTTTAAGTGTCAAGCATGAAACAAGTGAAAGTCATCATTTTTTTTTCCTTCTGTGACTCGGTAGCAACAGTGTATCAAGCCAAGGCCACTGTGAAGTGGTGGAGGAAATCCGGGCACCCGCAGTCACCTTGGCAGGCACACTATGCTATTTTCAGACTTGCGGAGCCTCTGTGCTGCCCCCCTGTCATCCTCACCTGTCTCTTAACTGAAAGTCCATTTTAACTCTGCTTTCTTGGAAACAGGAACAAGCATGTGACAGGATGCAGAGAAGCACTCCCGGCTTCGATGTCTCTTCACCAGCTGATGAAACCTAGTTTCTCCACCCATCTTCAGTCTCCAAGCCCTACCTGCAAGCACTTCCATGAAAGTCACCGGGCACACACTCTCTGGGATGTGGAAGGTTGGGAGGGAAGAATTAAAAAAACAAAATGAAAGTAACAGTATCAAGATCCAAACTCAGAAAACGTTTCTTGAAGTGACATTATCTACTCTTTTAACCCAATCTCTTTGTCACCAGTCACTGTTTATGTAGGAAGTGTAAGCTAATTTTAATATTAAAGCGTTACAGTGATTACGAAGGTAAGTTTGTGAACAATGTATGGATGATCCACACTTTGTCTTTTTTCCCACCTTAGATAAACACAGAAGTCCCTGATTGCAGACCAAAAGACTAAAATGTCAACATAAGCGATGTCTTGTTTATACTGTGCTGAATTGGATTTGGTGACTTGTGAGCATAGGTAATCAGCCCTTTTGCCCACGTCCCTTGGTGAAGAATCATCCTGCTCCTGTAACTATCAAAAAGATTAACCATGAATGTTGGTATGAAATATCTGCTTTTCATACCTTGACACTAAGGAAAATAGACCTTATTAAGGGAGGAAAAGCCCTTTTGGGGTTAACCTCCTTTACATGTGGTGCCCACGTGAATCCAAATTCAGTGAGGTAGTGGTAGCCCAGTTCCTCGCCACTTTATGCAGTTTTGTTTAAAGTTTGCCCTCTGAGATCTATAAATGCAAGTGCCTTTTTCAAGAATAGTGAGGGCAGCTTTCATTAAGGACTTGTGTATGTCTGGGAGAATCACATGGGCTTGGTTGGCAGTAGAGCATTTTCTTGGGGACAGAGTATGTTATAGAAATAGTTTAGAGGCTGGGCACAGAGGCTCATGCCTGTAATCCCAGCATTTTGGAGACTGAGGTGGGCAGACCACACAAGGTTGGGAGCTCAAGACTAGCCTGACCAACATGAAGAAACCTGCCTCTACTAAAAATACAAAAATTAGCTGGACGTGATGGTGCATGTCTGTAATCCCAGCTACTTGGGAGGCTGAGGCAGGAGAATCCCTTGAACCCGGGAGGCGGAGGTTGCCGTGAGCTGAGATCACACCACTGCACTCCAGCCTGGGCAACGAGAGCAACTCCATCTCAAAAAAAAATAAATAAATAAATAAATAAATAAAGGAAATACTTTAGGCAGGAGGTTAGATGAGAAAGTTCCACAGAAATCTAGGGATTCTTTTTTTCTGCCCAAACCACCATGTTCCTTTCTGCTTTCATTTCTTTGCTCATGCCCTTCTTCTTTCCACGTGGTGGATCACCTTCCATCCTCCAGCACAGCAGGTAGGCTCCGTCCGCCCGGAAGGACCCATTCAAGTGCCCTCTTCATGAAGCACTGTCTGAGTGCACCGGCCAAAACTTTTCCCATCTTCTTTTGAGTTATTTACACTGCCTCTCTAGTCAATGTGCACTTATATGAAGTCCTCAGTAAGAAATTACAGTTCCTCAAGGGCAACAAATGTATCTTTTATCTCTTTTAATCCTATTAGATCCTTATGCCTCCCTAAC